CTGTGCTATCTCTCCACCCCCACAGCCACGAAACTTAGTTACAAAAACAGTTTAGCAGCACAACCACTGGTTCTTTTCAACAGAAAATAAAAGGAAGATAACTTTATTTTTAAAATTAGAAGGCCGTGCAGCAAAAAGCATTTATTTAATCTTTCAGTTATCGGAATGTGACAAAATGTAAAATATTAAGACCCACAAAAATAGTAATTCCTCATTTCCTTTAATATCCAGGCCTTCATCTCCCGGGTACCATATAATCTTTGTTCGTATAATCATTTAAGGAATGAAATGACACAGAGTGATGCAGAAACACCTAACTCTGGGGGCAGGAGGAGCAGTTAAAGGAGGGGCATGCGCAGTCCACCTGCACAAGACACTGACTTTGACACACACCATGTGACTCTGCAGCACCTCCAGATACAGCTCTGGTGGCCCCTATGCCCCAGGGAGCCCATGTAGCACCACATCTCTGGACTCAAGCACCCACCTGTGAACCTACACCTCTGGATCTCAGTAAAGGGGACCCAGGGAGGGCCCTCTCTAATAAAAAAAAAAACTCTGTGGCCCGAGCGATACTACAGTGGACAGGGCACTTGTTTTGCACACGGCACTCCATATGGTTCCTCAAGTCCCACCAGAGGTGATCACTCCAGAGCACAGAGTCAGGGGTAAGTCCCACACACCACTGGGTGTGAGTGTGACCCAAAACCTAAAATAATAAATTTGTTCAGGCTCAAATCACAGCCCTACAAGCAATGTGACTTAAAACTTAACAGCAGTGGACGGCCAGGCAGTATAGCGGGAAGGGCGCTGGCCTTGCACGCAGCTGATCCAGGTTCACCCCAACATCCCATATGATCCCCTGAGCACCGCCAGGAGTGGTCCCCAGTGCAGTCAGGAGGATCCCTGAGCACTGCCAGGAGTGATCCCGAATGCAGAGCCAGGAGGACGCCCTGAGCACCGCCAGGAGTGGTCCCGAGTGCGGAGTCAGGAGGATCCCTGAGCACTGCCAGGAGTGATCCCAAATGCAGAGCCAGGAGGACGCCCTGAGCACCGCCAGGAGTGGTCCCCAGTGCAGTCAGGAGGATCCCTGAGCACTGCCAGGAGTGATCCCAAATGCAGAGCCAGGAGGACGCCCTGAGCACCGCCAGGAGTGGTCCCCAGTGCAGTCAGGAGGATCCCTGAGCACTGCCAGGAGTGATCCCAAATGCAGAGCCAGGAGGACGCCCTGAGCACCGCCAGGAGTGGTCCCCAGTGCAGTCAGGAGGATCCCTGAGCACTGCCAGGAGTGATCCCAAATGCAGAGCCAGGAGGACGCCCTGAGCACCGCCAGGAGTGGTCCCCAGTGCAGTCAGGAGGATCCCTGAGCACTGCCAGGAGTGATCCCAAATGCAGAGCCAGGAGGACGCCCTGAGCACCGCCAGGAGTGGTCCCCAGTGCAGTCAGGAGGATCCCTGAGCACTGCCAGGAGTGATCCCAAATGCAGAGCCAGGAGGATGCCCTGAGCACCGCCAGGAGTGGTCCCGAGTGCAGTCAGGAGGATCCCTGAGCTCCACCAGGCGTGATCCCGAGTGCGGAGTCAGGAGGATCCCTGAGCACTGCCAGGAGTGATCCCGAGTGCAGAGCCAGGAAGATCCCTGAGCACTGCCAGGAGTGGCCCAAGAACAAACAAATAAGACTGACAGCAGCGGGGCAGAGGCCAGGCCCCAAAGGGCTGAAGCACAATGATGGCTTCCCAACTGGCTTTCCGGAGTGTGCGCATCAAAATGCACACAAGGCCCCAGAGAGAGCACAGTGGGGAAGGCACCTGCCTCACACGTGGACGCCCCGTGTTCAACACGAGAGTCCCTGAAACCCCACCAGGAGTGACCTGTAAGTACAGAGCCAGGAGTAAGCCCTGAGCACTGCTGGGTGTAGCCCTCAAATCAGAAATATCATACAGCCCAATTCAAACATACATCTGCATTTCTTTTTACTTTCTTTTTTTTTGGGGGGGGGGTGGGTGGGTGGAGAGGTTCACACCTGGTGATGCTCGAGGGTTACTCCTGGCTCTGCACTCCGGAATCATTCCTGGCGGTGCTGGGGGAATATATGGGGTGCCAGGGATCTACCCGCTGTACTATTGTTCCGGCCCCTCCTTTCCCTTTTTCTGCTCACACCCCGCCATGCTCAGAGTTTACTCTGGCTCTGTGCTCAGGGCGCACACCTGGAAGGTCAGGGGACCATATGTGGTACCTGGGACTGAACCCGGGTCAGACACATACAGGGCAAGTGCCCTGCCTGCTGTGCCATCGCTCTGGTGCCCGACCTGCATTTCTTACCACTGTATTTTTACAGACTATGCCAAAGCACATGAAGCTCTCGCACTCTCCAAGGAGGTGGTCTTGTTCTCCAAATCCCAAACCAGGACTCGGGAGACGGGTCGGCAGGAGGGGTCCCCTAGGTGCCGATTCTACTCCCTGAACCCCGGAGTTCTAGCAGCCAACGACTGCATCCACGTGCCGGTCCCCAGACGCACCAGACCCCACCTCCCCACAGCTCAGTCCTTGACAGTGCCATCACACAGGTCTTCAGGGACGTGACAAGAATTCGAGTCACCGCTGGGTGGGTGCCAAGGCAGCAGACGAGGGGACAGGCTGTGTGTCGGCCACTTTCTGTCAGCTCCTCTGGCCTCCTGGGTCTCTGGCCTGCTGATCGCTTCCTAAGGAAATAGGCCATGTGAGAGCAGCCGAGTAAGGGCTCGGCCAAACACTCTGGTCTGGGGACCTATGCAGAGCCTGCCTTTCACTTCTTTTAAGGTTTGGATTTTCATCTTCTCAAGGAGCCAGCTTCAAGATTTAAATGTCCAAACTGGGGGCCAGAGCAATAGCATAGCAGGCGGCCACCTGCGCTGCACAGAGCCTAGCGAGTATCCATCCTGGTGATCCCATATGGTCCCTCAAGCCCCGCCAGGAGTGACGCCTGTGTGCAGAGTCTGGAGGAAGTCCTGAACCACACACTGACAGGGTGTGACCCAAAAACCAAAAAATAAGTCGATGTCCAAACTGTAGTTTCATAAAACATTTAAGTTATCAGGGGGTTTTAGCTAGGTCTCCAGCTAGACGGGCCGGAGCGACAGGACATGGGGGAGGGAGTTTGCCTTACACGTGGCTAACCCAGGATCGATCCCCAACACCACGTATGATTTGCCCAAACTGAGTGAAGCCTGAGTGCAGAGCCAGGAGTAAGCCCTGAGCACCGCCAGGTGTGGCCCAAAACCAAAGGGGAAAAAAGTAGGTCTCCAGCTGGGAAGATAGCGCAAAGGGCTAGACTGAAACAAGCTTTGATGTAGGAGCTCCAGACCTGAGCTCCAGAACCTCACGGTGCCCGGGGTACGACAAGTCCAGCCCCCGAAGCTCCAGGCCAGCAGCAGGCCCTGAACAGCATGGCTGTGACCCAAACACTAAGTGGTCTAGGGAGACGGCTCCAAAGCCTGGAGCGTAAGCTGGAGTCCCAGGTTCCAGCACCAGCAACTCACAGTTCCCTGCCCCAGCACCGCGTGGTCTGGAGGAGCCCCTGAGCACTGCCAGGTATCATCAGTAAATAGGCCGCTCTCATAATTAAGCCTAGTGAGAACAATTTAGGCCCCAGATTTCATGAGCCGGAGGTTTGGAGGTGACCTTATGTTGAACAGGGAAGGAGGGCAGAAGGGTTCTGCCAAACGGCCATGGCAGGACCAGGAAGTCGGGTGTGCTTTCAGGTTGGCATGGAGAGAAACCAGTCCCTCTTGGGGCCAGCAACTAGGGCACTTGCCTCGTACAGACCCAGGCTCAAGCCTGGCACCTCCTACGGTCCTCTGAGTCCCACCAGGAGTGATCCCTGGGCACAAAAATTGGTTCCTCTAGGGCGTGTGCCCACCCAAGTTCGATCTAGCCCAGAGCACCATCAGAGGTGATTCTTGAGTGCAGAGCCAGGAGTGACAACTTGAGCATCACCGAGTGTAACAAAAATTGGTTCCTCTCTACCTGGATGAGAAAATGAGAGCAGTGTCTGAATTGAATCACAAAACTCCTAACTTTGGCAACTATTCACAACTGGGTGTACCGTTAACAAGAGACGTGAAATCAGTCACGGGCCATCCCTACTGCCCAAGTGTCCGCGATTCCTGAGTCCTGGGGCCTTCCACTCCCGGGGAAGCCACAGCAGGGCCTGCACTGTCCGTCCCTACCTGTCCATCCATCCCTCGCGCACCCACAAGTTAGACCCTCGCGCGGATGTCCCCTCCCGAGCACACGCTGGAACTGACCACCAAAGCTGCTGCAGGGCGGGAAAGAGCGGGATGGACTTCACTCTCCCGGGCAGCAACGCCCAACTCCCTCTCCTGCCTGGACCACTGCTTGGACCCCGCAGCATCTCTGCAGCCTGCGCCGTGACCAGTGACGGCGTCCTCGGTCGGACACGCGTGCCCAAGGCAAGGCAGAGCGAGGACGGGCGAGGAGGGGTCCCGGCGGCAGCACCGCGGCGGGGGGCTCGATCCCCTCACCCTGCGCCCTGCCAGGACAGCTTCCCTGGCAGGGCGGGGGCAGAGCAGCCCTGGGCACCACCGAGAGCGGGCGCCCGCGAAAGTGAGAAAGTACCGCCAGACCCCCGAGGACCACCCAGCCACCCTGCATCTCCAACGGGGCCTCTTCCCAAGGGGTGGGCAGCTGCGGGACGCGACAGGCTCGCGGGAGGGGCGCGGGGCGCGCGCCCACCGCTCACACCCACGGGCGCCGTCCCGGGGCTGCAGCCCCTCCGCCGCGCCGACGCCCCGTGCCCCGCAGGAAGGCCACGTGCGGGCCTGGCCTCGGGGGCCGCCGCCGAGCGGAAGGCGCGGAAAGGCGTGGCCGCTTCCTCCCGGCCCGCGGCGGGGACCACCGAGCCCCATTGTCCGGGCGCCCCTGCCCACGCCCACTCCGCCCCGCGGACCGTCCCGGGCACGCCCGGAGCCCGCTCCCGCGAGGCCGCGCCCGCGCGCTCACCTTCTTGCCCTTCTTGCCCTCCTCGTCCATGTCGCCGCCAGCGGCCCGGCCCGGCCAGCCCGGCAGCTACATGCCCGCCGCCCGGGCCCCGCGGCCGGCCACAGCCGCGCTCCTGCACCGCCCGCCCCGCGCAGTCTCCGCCCCCGCCGCGCGCGCCCCGCACCCCGCACTTCCGGGCCGGGAGCGCCGCCCGCACAGAGCGCCCGCGGCCCCGAGCCTGCTCGCCCCGCCCCGCCCCGCCCCGGGGGCGGACCCCGCGCCCGGCCCCGCCCCCGACCCCGCCCGCACGGAGCGCCCGCGGCCCAGAGCCTGCTGGCCCCGCCCCGCCCCGCCCCGGGGGCGGACCCCGGGCCCGGCCCCGCCCCCGCCCCCGCTTGCACAGAGCGCCCGCGGCTCAGAGCCTGCTGGCCCCGCCCAGCCCCACCCCGGGGGCGGATCCGGGCCCGGTCCCGCCCCCGGCCCCCCCCCCGCACAGAGAGCCCGCCTGCTAGGCCCCGCCCCGCTCCACGGCTCGGGAACGGAGACTCGCTCTTCCCCGCCCAGCTCCGCCCCGTGCCCCGCCCTCACAAAGCGCCCTCGGCCCGGAGCCTCTCCACTCCAGGGGGTGGAGCCCTGCTCGCCCCGTCCAGCTCCGCCCCCTGCCCTGCCCACCAGAGCACCCCGGGCCGGACGTGTTGGCCCCGCCCAGGTCCACGCCCGGGGCGGAGCCCAGATCGCCCCGCCCCTTGTCCCGCCTCTTTCCCCGCCCCTTGCCCCGCCCTCACAGAGCGCCTCGGCCCGGAGCCTGCGGGCCCCGCCCCGCTCCACGCCCGGGGGCGGAGCCATCTAGCCCCGCCCCTTTCCCGTCCCCTGCCCCACCCTCACAGAGCGCCTCGGCCGGGAGTGCTCCTGCTGGGCCCCAGCTGGGCTCCCTGCTGGGGAGATGCGGGGCCGGGGAGGGGCGGGGTCTGGGCGCGGAAGGCAGGCGGGCCCGGAAAGGGGCGGGACCTGCGTCGGGGCGGGGCCCGAGTCGAGGCGGGGCCTGGGCTCGGAGGGGTGGCGGGTCCGGAAAGGGGCGGGTCTTGCGCTGGGGAGGGTCCTGGGCGCGAAGGGCTGGCGGGCCCGGGAAGGGGCGGGGCCCGAGTCGGGGCGGGGCCTGGGCGCGGAGGGCTGGCGGGCCCGGGAAGGGGCGGGGTCTGCGTAAGGGCGGGGCCTGGGCCTGGAGGGATGGCGGGCCCGGAAAGGGGCGGGTCTTGCGCTGGGGAGGGGCCTGGGCGCGAAGGGCTGGCGGGCCCGGGAAGGGGCGGGGCCCGAGTCGGGGCGGGGCCTGGGCGCGGAGGGCTGGCGGGCCGGGAAGAGGCGGGGTCTGCGTCAGGGCGGGGCCTGGGCGCGGAGGGCTGGCGGGCCGGGAAGAGGCGGGGTCTGCGTCAGGGCGGGGCCTGGGCGCGGAGGGCTGGCGGGCCCGGAAAGGGGCGGGGCTTGCGTCGGGGCGGGCCCGAGTCGGGGCGGGGCCAGGGCGCCCGGGGCTGGCGGGCCGGGGTTGGCTTTGGGGTGCGGCGAGCCCCGGGGCTGCGGAGCCGGGCCGGAAGGGAGGGCCCGGCGCGTCTTTTTTTTTTTTTTCTCCTTTAGCCACTTTGTTGCTCTGAGGTTTCTAGGGCTTACTCTAGTCTAGTCCCTCGACACCTCGGGGAAAGCACTAACCGTCAGAACGACCGCACCCAGGAGAGCAGCTGTCTCGGCTTCCCGGCCGCACTGAGCCCAAACCCTGGGGCTGCTGCTGCTCCCTATTCGTGCATATTTATTTTAAAAGTGTAATATAGGGGTTGGAGAAAAGAATTGAAGAAAAAAGTACATGTGGGTTGGAGAGAGTGCAGATTTACTTAAGTAAAAAGTTTAGAGCGGGAGCAATAGTACAGTGGGTGGGGCGCTCCTCTGCCCCCCGTCCCCCAAGCCCCGCCAGGAGCAACCCCCGCGCCACCGGGTATGACCCAAAAACCAAAAAATAAAGTTTAATACAGAGGTTGGACAGAAGACTGACCTAGGTCAGTCCCCAAGCCCTGGTGGAGTGGTCACTGAACACAGAGCTAGGAGGAAGTCCTGAGCACTGCCGGGTGTGGCCCAAACCAAAAGGGAATCGGCCAGTTTGCCGAGAAGCACCCTAAAAACTGAAGTCTCAGAAGCTAGCGGGAGCACCACTTAGGACCCCCGCGCCCTAGTCCCGAGAGAAGTTGGCCCAGTGTTTTGCCACGAAATCAAGCTGCCAATAAGAACCTTGTGGCAGACCTAGCATGTAATCTGGTACCAATATAACCAGTATTCCTCTATTTCTTTTTCTTTTGTGTGTGTGTGGGGGGGACCTGAGCACAAAGTAAGGCAGTGCTGAGGACTTTCATTTTTAATCTTGGCGGTCTCTCTCTCTCTCTCTCTCTCTCTCTCTCTCTCTCTCTCTTCTCTCTCTCTCTTTAATTGAATCACCGTGGGATACACAGTTACAAAGTTGTTCATGATTGGGTTTCAGTCCTGCAATGTTCCAACACCCATTCCTTCATCTTGGCATCCTTTCTTTAATATTACTTTCACAAGTTTCCATGAAGTATCTACCCTCTTTAGAGAATTTAGGCAGGGGTAGGAGAGACAGAATTTTAGAAAGAAAATTTTAAAACTCTGCCTTCAGTCCTGGGAGAACCCACCTTTCTCTGTCACACAGATACACTTCTACACACCTCGGTCTTCCATAACCATTTCCATTTCTAGTTCTCTTTCTTTTACAGCAAAGAGAATGGGATGGACAGAGAACCTCAAAGAACATGCACCTGCTAGAGCATTCCTTGAGGTGGCGAGGAAGGTAACCTCTTTGAGTGAATGTTGAGTTTCCAGGAGAGCAATCTGGAAGCAACATTTTTGCTCCAAATAATAAAATTTAATGAAGTGATGGGGTGTGTATACTGTAGAGTGCTTGCAAGTATTTACTTGGGCTACACTTGAGTTTCAGGTACCGCTTTGCACTTAATAAAATCAGAATCCTGCCTTTCCAGACTGATATTCCTGATCCTTGAGTCTGTAGTCTTTGTGGATGTCAAGAACACTCAAAACCCTGGAATTCTTGGTTGTATCTCCAAGAATCCATGGCGTAGGATTCCGTGGTGTATTCAATATGCCAAAAACAGTAAATACAATGGGTCTCATTCCCCGACCCTGAAAGAGCCCCCAATACAGCAGCGTTAAGAAGGATGAGGAAGGAGAGGCTGATAAAATCTCAGGGTCAAACTAGGCTGCCAAAACGAAGAAGGACTAAAATGACTATCTGCACTTTCAACGCGCATATGCTGGCATTGGAAGCATCCATCGAGGACCTGATGGTACAAGTGTGGAAGATCAAGTACGACATCATTGGTCCCACCAAGATGGCATCAGTCACATCATGCCATTTTCGACACTGGAGAAGAACTCGAACGTGTGACAAAAGAGGCGTCGGTGGTGTCCATGTCCTTGTCAACACGTACTTGGCCATGAGCATTGATTCATTCAAATGCCTAACAACCCGAATCGGATGATTAGACTTGAATAAATGTGGCTCACTGCCAGCACCAACATCCAATTACGATGAAGAAGAAATTAAGAAATTCTACATGAAACTGGAGAAGTTCTATAAAGAAGACCACACCTTCTACAAGATCATTGTCGGTGATTTTAATGCCAAGATAAGACCGAGAAGATTGGCCGAAGAATTCCACATCGGGACCCATGGCCTAGAATGGAACTAACAGAGTGAGAGACTGAGTTCATCATGTCGACCAAGACCATCCATGGTAGTTCACAGTTCCAGAAGGCCGAATCTAAACGTTAGACATGGAGTCTCCCGGTGGATAGTTCCACAATGAAATTGACCACATCAGATTCAATCAACAGTTTTGCCTGACCTATGTCGCTGTTGTCCCAAAATTCCAAATGGGATCGGACCACCATCTCCTTCATACAAAATTCTACTTCATGGAGCGGAGAGAAAGGGCTGCAAAATTTAAGAAGAGAACTCCCAGAATGACCACCAAGTGGGAGCTCTTTGGCACTATTGCAGCAACATGGGAAGATGCCGTTGTTGACCACATTGATGAAGAATACAATCGACTGGTTCAGCACCTCCATGATTGTTCAAGGAATGCCAAGGGAGAGAAAGCCACAAACAAACTCCTGTCTTCAAAAACTCTCGAGCTCATTCGCCAACGTGGCTGGGCACGTTAGCAACCACAAGCTAACTTCGAGCTCGCAAAGCAGTGCAGAGAAGTGATAAAGGAAGACCTCAAAGAGAGAAGAGCAGCAGTGCTGGCAGATGCGGCAGAAGCCAGAAAAGCATTTGCAATACCTGCCTGTCCTTCACCAACTACAAGACCAAAATGACTGCACTCTGATGTCCTGATGAATCTATCACATCTTCCAGAAGGGCAATGGAGAAGATTATCCATGACCTCTACTCAGATTTCTTCTATAGCCATGTCCACCTGCCCATATACCAAATTCCACAGGATGGATATGTCGTTCCCAACATTCTCCCTTCTGAAATCCGACACGCCATTTTGTTGGTAAAGAAGTGAACAGCAGCCAGCCCAGACAAGGTCAGACCAGAACACCTGAAGAACCTGCCATAAGTACTCATCAATACACTGGCTCAGCTTTTCACATGCTACCTGTCTGAATACAAGGTTCCATCCCAATGGAAAACTAGAAGGACCATTCTACTGTACAAGAAGGGAGACATCCACGACATTGGCAACTATTGCCAATAACAATCTGCCTGTTATCTGTCATCTACAAGGTGTTCACTCGAGTCATCCTGAATAGGATTGGCAGAACACTAATGAAGGAAACCATGCGAGCAAGCCAGGTTCCGAAAAGGATTCAGCACGATCGACCATATCCACATGGTAACCAAGCTCATTGAGTTTTCTTGGGAGTTCAAGATACCGCTCTGTCTAACGTTCATTAATTTAAAGAAGGCCTTTGATTCTATTGAGCTGGAAGCAATCATCAAAGCCCTAGCCAAACAGGGCGTTCAAACTCAATACATCAGGATCTTCCGTGAGCTGTATTACAGATTCACTACCAGGGTCTCACCATTTTACAAGGAAGTGATCATCAAGGTAAAGAGAGGGGTTCGGCAGGGATACCATTTTCACCAAAACTCCTCAGTGCCACCCTCGAGAACATCATGCAACGACTGAAATGGGAAGGAATGGGAGTGAAGATAGACGGTCGGCAACTACACCACCTCTGCTTCACTGATGACATAATTCTAATAACACCAAACATTAGCCAAGTGGCAGAAATGCTGGCCGACTTCGACCATGAGTCTGGAAAGGTTGAACTGAAGGTGAATCTCATGAAGACAATGTTCATTTGTTCCATTCACTCTCAACGGAATGAACATCTCTGAATGCAGCAGTTACGTGTACCTAGGTCGAAAATTCAACATGATGAATGACCTGGCACCTGAGTTGTGTAGGAGGAAAAGAGTGGCTTGGAATGCCTTCAAGAGCGTCGAAGAAATAGCTAAGAGGACAAAGAACTTCTGGCTCTGGGCACATCTCTTCGACTCCACCATTCTTCCTGCATTAACATACGCCTCAGAGACCTGGGCCCTATGAAAACAGGATGAAAATGCTAATCGGGTCTCCCAAAGAGGAATTGAAAGAGCTATGCTTGGAGTATCACACTTCACTCAAGTGAAAGAAAGAAGCCGGAGTTCCGACCTCTGTCGACGATTGAGTATCAAGGATGCTGTCATGTTTGCCAAGGCGTTGAAAATCAGATGGGCTGGATACGTAATGCGATTTGGAGATGACCACTGGGCTAGAGTCATTACCGACTGGATTCCACAGGATGTTAAAAGATCACATGGCCACCCACTTATGTGATGGTCAGACTTCTTTGTCAAGACCCTGAATGAACGGTTTGAGGCTCTTCGTGTTCCTGGAGTGAGCAGACGCCATTGGGCTACACTAGCACGCGACAGGGATGAATGGAGACATTACTGGCGTCCGCTCGAGCAAATCTATGAGTAATGGGATGTCAGGTGATTAAGTGATCCCCAAGAATATCCCCAATTCCATTCCAGTGCTTTTTTTTCATGTTTTGGCTTTTTGGGTCACATCCGGTGATGCTCAAGGGTACTCCTGGCTCTGCACTCAAGAATTACTACTAGTAGTGCTCGATGGACCATATAGGATGCCAGGGCCCAATCCTGGGTCAGCCGCATGCCAGGAAAATGCCCTACCCACTGTACTATCACGCAGGTGCCCTTACAACATGCTTTCCCTGACTTGTATGAAGTAATATGAAGTAAATATAATTAAAAGAAAATTTTTCTTTTCTTTTTTTTTTTATTTTAATTTTTGGACCACACCTGATGATGCTCAGGGGTTACTTCTGGCTTTGCACTAAGGACTTACTCCTGGAGATGGTCAGGGAGGACATATGGGATGCCAGGTCGGCCACTTGCAAGGCAAATACCCTATCTACTGTACTGCCATGTCGGTTCCTTCTTATTTTCTAATTTTTCTTCATTTTGGGGGGGTGGTGGCCACACCTGGATGTGCTCAGGGATCACTCCAGGAGGACCTCAGGGGTCCAGATGAGGTTCTGAACCCAGGTTGGCTGTGTTCAAGGCAAGTGTCTTACTCGATGCACTATCTCTCCTTCCCCAAATTTCCCCTTAACCAGAAAACCCTCTGCTCTTAATAACCAGGTGGACACAAGCCATTGCACTAATTAGGCTGAGCAACTTGGGACTCAGTATGTAGCTGGGGCCTTGACCTACTAAGGAACCAGAAGAGAGGCTTTATCCTCTTGACAATGACATTTTAAAGTGAGTGCTCCCAAGGAGTATAGTCCTGAGCAGTGAGCCCAGCTGTATGTTACACATCCATTCCAGGTCTACATACACATGTAAAGGGAGAGGCCTGGGAGATACAGTGGGCAAGAAGACACTTTCCTTGGTCCCATCCCTAGCATCGATGCCCCAAGCCCTGACAGGTGTGATCCCTAAGCAGAGAGCCATGAGTAAGCTCTGAGAACTGCTCACTCCAAAATAAAAATAAAAGTAAAAGGTAAAGGCCCTCCCGTTGATCATCGATTTGCTCGAGCGGGCCCAGTAACGTCTCCATTGGAGACTTTGTTGTTACTGTGTTTGGCATATCGAATCCGTCACGGGGAGCTTGCCAGGCTCTGCCCTGCGGGCGAGATACTCTCGGTAGCTTGCCAGGCTCTCCGAGAGGGGCGGAGGAATCGAACTCGGGTTGGCCATGTTGGCTGCGTGCAAGGCAAACGCCCTACCGCTGTGCTATTGCTCCAGCCCTAAAATAAAATAAAAATAAAATTGGTTTTTTTTTAAAGGTCAGGGAGGGACCGTAGAGATAGTGCAGCAAGCAGGATTCCTGCCTTATGCTGCCGACCCATGTTTGATGTGGTCTGATGTGGCCTAAAGCAATTAGCAGAACTATTTAATTCTAACTATATTAAAGCCACGTTTTCTGTCTCTAGTACCATCAAAATGGCAGGTTGAATGTATCCTTGAGAGCATTGGTAGGGATTTTCATATCAACCAGACAGAAATAAGGGAGAAGGCCAAGTTCTGGGCCAAACGTGCCTTTCTCCTACTCACTGGGGCCCGTGAGAAGCTGTTTGGCACGGTCCTTATTGCAAATCTCAACCCACTGAAATCTAGAACTCCAGGTACCCCTGTCTGCACAATGAAGGACCAAATGAAGTATGGGCAGCTTTTCTTAGCAAAAGGTCCCCCATGAATAATGTTATTGGATCCTATTTTCCTAAGAGTAGAATTTATGTAATTTTATTTCATTCTGCTCTCTAAATCTATCTCCACTCTGCGTTGTTTGGGGCTATTCTCAGTGGTGCTCAGGGCTTACTCCTGGCTCTGCTCAGGGATCACTCCTGGTGGAGCTTGGGGGACCACCTGGGGCACTGGGGACTAAGCGCCCGTTTGGCTATGGGCAAGGCAAGCACCATACCCACTGTACAATCACTCAGTTTCAAGTGATTGCCATTCTGAAGATGAGGAAGCAGGTTTTGAAAAGTGCAACAGCGCGAGAGATAGTACAGGAGGTGGGGCGTTTGTCTTGCATGGGACCGACACCCTATATGGTCCCCCAAGCACCGCCAGAAGTAATTCTTGGGTGCAGAGCCAGGAGTAACCCCTTAGCTTGTCAGGTGTGACCCAAAAAGTCAATAAATAAATATAATTCATTTATTTATGTATATAATTCAAATATTTATATGTATGTATATATATTGCAGGCAGAGCCTGGCAAGCTACCTGTGGTGTATTTGATATGCCAAAAACAGTAACAATAACAGGTCTCATTCTCCTAACCCTGAAAGAGCCTCCAATATGGCAGTGTTGGGAAAGACGAGTAAGGAGAGGCGGCTAAAATCTCAGGGCTGGGACGAATGGAGATGTTACTGGCGTCCACTCAAGTAAATCGATGAACAATGGGATGACACTGATACAGTGATACAGCGTTGCAGTCATGTGGCCTAAGAAACAAAAATCCCAATACTAAAATTAAAAGGGAAGAGAATGGCATCTGGAAGTATGAGGAGTGGTTGGTCTACCGTGTTCTGCGGAGACCTGCCCCCTTCTCCACCGCCCCTGCTGCCTTCTTCCCATCCTTCTGGGGGCTGCCTGCAGTGCTGGCCGGCCTGGCCGTCTGGGCTTTCCTGTGCATGAAGGGCGCATTGTGTGCCTGGTAAGTGGTGCTGACCAGCTGGGCTCCGCATTCCTGCCACCGTTCATCGGGATCCGTTCGCCATTCACTGTTCTCCTTCGGGATGGCACGTGCTTTCTGAGATGTCCAACTGAGCGGGCCGGGCCGGGGCTCGCCCTGGGTCTTTGGGTTCCTTGAACAGCCCCTGCAGTGACCCTGGGCGGCAGTGCTCAGGGATCCCTCCTGGTGGTTCAGGGGATGGAGCCAGGTCAGCTGCAGACAAGAGCCCTGCACTGAGTCTCTGGGTCCTGGAAAGGAAGCCCAGCTGGGACTTCCTTTCCCTCTAGCTTAGGGCTCGTGCAAGCCTCCAGTGTGCTTGGGTCCGAAGTGACCCTGTGCATTCCCGCAGTGCTGGTGAGAACAAGATGAAACAGTTTGAGGCCTCGCCCTGCTCCATCCAGAGCAAGGTTATAAGTTCCAGACCATCGCTTGCTTTCTTCTGTAGTGTTCTGGTGAAGAAAGCTGTTTCCTACATATGGCTGGCTCTAGGTTAAACTGGCTTAGGGCACCGTGTGGCACTGGAGATTGTGCCCAAGGTGCCCACGTGCACACGATGTGCTTTCTCCCTGAATGCCATCTCCCCAGAATGCGGTTTTAAAATTTGTGTTTCACACATTTGGGGGCGTGGTGGCCTTATTTGGGTCCATATATAGTAGACTATTTAGGGCTTCCTGGAAGTTGTTTTGGATTTGGGGTAATAGGCTATGGGAAATAAAGGTAATTAATGAAGGGAAAGCTCAGAGAGGCAGCGGTGGGAGCAGAGGGAGGGAGTCAGGAGTCGGCAGGGATGAGCAAGGCTGCCCTAAAGGCCCAGTGTGGTTAGCAGCTAGGAGGCTGACATGGGCCACAGAGCAGTGGAACAGCAGGAAGGCACGTGTACAGCAAACCCTGGTTCATGCCCCCAGGTCCTACCAGGAGTGATCCCAGAACACAGTCAGGTGTGGCCCCAAAACAATTTTTTTAAAAAGGCTTGAACAGCAGGCCAAATCCCATAGCAGGACTTGCCCCTGAGGCCCGAGTGAGGCTAAGGTAAGCATGTCCTGTGTCATGCTACAGCTTCTCCTAATTAAATCCCACTCAAGTGTGAGCCCCCAGCACTGTGTGACAGTGAATCCACACATACATCTCCACACATACATCCCACTTTGAGGAGAGCGACGGTTGGCCATACTGCAGTGCCAGGCGTCTTGATCTTTCACTCACTCTAAATTTGGGGGGTGGGCGGTGTGCCATGAGGTATCTTAGGTTCCGGAAAGATGGGAGGCCTGGGACCTGTAGTGCTTGGAATTGCCCAGCAAGAGCTGGAGGCTCCGGGTTAGACACTCAGCCTTTGCGTCCAGGTTTGGGATCAGCAGTCCTGACAGATCCTGTAAACGCCAGCTCCAACAGCCTGGACCTGCCTGGTGCTGTCCACGTGGCCTTTCTGGTGAGGGTGAGGTGTATGTTCCATGCAGTGACCTCGGACAGAAGCGGGCGTGCTGGCTCCTTCCTGAGCGCACCGTGGCTCTGTCTTCACTCGGGCGACCCTTCGTGAGGGGGAACTGGAGGCCACTGCTGTCAGTGGCCAGGAAGGACCGCCTCTCAGACTCACATGGCCTTGTGTTCTATCAGTCCAGAAAACTGCTGACCAGGGCATGCAGCCTCCTAGATTTCGAGACAGTTCCCTGATGGCCCTGCCGTGTCCCTGCCACCGCACGTGACACGGAGTGTACCATAATTCATCCCAGGATCCAGAATGCCAAGATTAGAGGGCTGATACAGTTCTGTGGACCCTGGGCAGGGTGAGTGTTTAAAAGGTCTCCCCTGGCCACTCAGCAGCTGTGGTCACCAATATGACACTGTCCCTATCCCTGACCCCCCATCGGAGCTGAGGGACAAGCCTGGGACCCCGTATGCAAAGCCTGGTTCCTACCAGGACTTCGTGCCATCTCCCCAGCTCTTCAAAACACTGACTTCAGTGAGATGACTGGGTCCCAGAAAAGTTAACGGCCTTTGAGCTTACGAGGCCTTTATAGCTAAAAGTCCCTTAGCATGTTGGTTGATAGCTGACGGGTGGAACCCTGGCTCTTTGACATAGCCTTTGGTTTGGGATTTGGTTCACTGCCTCTTGCCTGGGGAGTCTCTCCTGCCGGCAGCATCATGTACCCTGCCGTCCATCTCAGGCCTCAGCTCATAGAGGTGGCCATAGGGACACTCAGCGTCTGTGACAAAATTTATTATGTCTGGCTACTAACAACAGCCCTGGAAGGTGTTTCCAGTTTTCTCACTTTTCTTTCTTCTTTTTACAGAGCATCAGAGGAATCCCACATCAAGGGTTGTGCTGCCCACGTGGGTAACCCAGGGAGGGTGTGACAGACAATGAGGCAGCTGTCCATGCCTGTACTCTGCGGTGACAACAGCCCTCCTTGTTGCCCACCAGGAGGCGTGCTGTGGGTCTCTGGAATGGGCTGTGTGGGGCTGGTGGATTCTCTGTCTCCAGGTTCTCACCTGCCTCCTCCTTCCCAGGACTCCAGCCCCTCTGGATGAGTGGCAAAGGATTTCTGGATTAAGTGGTTTCTATGTGTGCTTCTCAGCAGAGCCTGGCATGCTCCCCGTGGCATATTCGATATGCCAAAAACAGTAACAATAATGGGTCTGATTTCCCTGACCCTGAAAGAACCTCCAATATGGCAGTGTTGGGAAGACCAGTAAGGAGAGGCTGCTAAAATCTCAGGGCTGGGACGAATGTAGATGTTACTGGTACCCGCTCTAGCAAGTTGATGAACAACGGGATGACAGTGATACAGTGATGTGTGCTGCTGGCATCCAACCCAGGGAAGACACGCTCTCCTCGGCCAAGCCACATTCCCAGAAAAGTGTTTGCTGTGTTTCAATTCAGGCTGCATTCTTTTGGGGGGGTGGGAAAGGGGGCCACAACCAGCATTGATCAGGGGTTCACTTCCAGGGCCACGAACCGAGCCAGGGTCAGCAGGATGCAAGGCAAGTGCCTTTTGCGTCCCTGTCTCGGGCTGGTTCTGTGTTACATAGAGGAGAATAAAGTGCCGCCGTTGATGGAGTTTCGGCCAAACGGAGGGGTTTCCTGGTCTCCTGTTCCTCTACCTTTGAGAGCTGGAGTCTGGGTGACGTGGCAGACACTGCTTCTGGGTGATTTCTTGACGGGTCGTGGGTCCCTTGGGTTGGTGGCATTTCCTGCCCCTTGTTCCCTTCAGCATAGCACAGACTTGTTGGTGGCACCTCAGCCTGGACCCACAGCTGCTGACAGTAAGTATGTCTGCGACCCCGCTGGCCTGGGACTTTAGGAAAGGAACGCCATGATCTCTGTGACCGTGTCCCAGGTCAGCTCAGCTGCCGGAGCCTGTAGGGACCCCCGAGTCCCTTGCACGCCCAGACCGATGACACTGAAAAGGAAAGTGCAGCCTCTCCCTGCGAGGGGCTGCTCTCCATGATGACTGCCCAGAACCGCGAACCCAAACCTGATCTGGGGCAAGGGGGTGGCAGACAACTTTAGACAGGCTTCTCAGCCTGAGCTGAGGTCTTGGTGAGGTCTTGCCCTACCCTGGGGCCTGAGACGGAGCCAAACTGTCAAACGTGAATCCTCTAATCAGTGTAACGGGGCAGAGAAGGGTTGGGGGTTCGGGAGCTGCCACCCCACACTGGGGCTGGAGTGTGGCCAGGAACTACCTTGAAACTGATGTAGGTGAGAGAGAGAACTGTGGGGGTCCCCTTCTGCCCTGTTTGCCCATCACCTGGGGGCGCAGACGGAGCCGAGGTCCTGCCCACAGGACTTCTTGGTGTGACATCATCACTGCCGCCGCTGTGGGCAGTAAATCTTGCGCAAGCTGTCGGGGGGGGGGGGGGGGCGGAACCACTGTCCCGGGTGCATTTAGGCTCAAGGGCAACAGCAGCTCTCGAACCCACTGCCCTCAGGAGAAAGGTCCTGACATTTCAGGTGGAAACCCCCTGCCCCTCCACAGAACCTGACTCATACCCATCTGATTGTTTCTGGTTTCAACTTTCGGTGTTGGGACCTCTCCAGGTCTGTTTCATTAAGGGTTGCTTTAATCCACACAGGACGAAACCCTCTAGAAAGGGAAGTGCAAGGGTGGGGAGGGTTCCCCCACTTTCTGTGTAGATTTGGAAATCCCTTCAAAACCAAAAATCATCAGCCCAGCAGGTCGGTGAACAGACACTTCCCCACGAGGACAGCCAGTAGGCATTTGATGATTCCCCTCTCCGATCATCTGGGAAATCCAAATTAAAGTGACAATGAGTGGCCCGAGACAGCACAGGGCTGCAGCCAGTCGCTGCGGGATCACGGGGTCCCCTCACTTTAGTGCCCCTCAATCTGTCCCCCGCATCTTACATCAGAGGAATGGCACCTACCCAAAGGACTGGGAAGACTTGGCAGGGTTGCAGTGAGAAAATGAATTCCATTCACTGTCGGGAAGCGGTGAGAGAGGAACCACTGTTGGGGGCGCAGCTGTCGTCTGGTCAGTCGCTCTGGAAAAATGATATTGAAAATGTTTTGTAAAGGAAGAGTGGAGATTCCTGGGTTTGACCCCAGCACCCTATATGGTTTCTGAGCATCACTAGTGTGGCCCCCTAAAAATTCACCAATACAGGGGCTGGAGTGATAGTACAGCGGGTAGGGCATTTGCCTTCAACGCGGCCGACCCGGGTTTGATTCCCAGCATCCCATAGGGTCCCCTGAGCACCTCCAGGAGTAACCCCTGTGCATCGCCAGGTGTGACCCCAAAAGCAAAAAAAAAAAAAAAAGATCACCAACCCAAAAGCTGGGGGTACAGAAGAAGTCACCAGGCCTGGGTGGATGAAATGACTCAGATTGGATCCCAGAGCCCCAAGAGGTGTTAGCCCCAGCTCCTGGCGGGAGTGAGTTTTCATCCAGTGACCCCTCAAGGTGCTAGTGCCTGGTCAGGCTTCACTGGACAATCAAACCCTTTCCACTCCAAGGTATGGAGCCATCCGCAGGAATTTATTTTGTTGGGGGGTTGAGGGAGATTTGGGGCCACAGGATCACAGGTGCTCAGGATCACGGCTGGTGGGCTCCGGAAAGCACACTTGGTGGGCCGTGTGGGAGGCGCTTCTGGGTTACTCTCAGGCACTTTAGCGGGAAGGCTTCAGTTCTGGCATCTTCTAGCTCTTTATCGTCTTTAACCCCCAGAACCTGTGTAGAGGGCTGCTTTGGCAGTGGAAGCTTTTTGGCAGGGTGGCGTGCCCATATCCGACACCTTGCTTGGAGCCGGCTCCTGGCTCAGGGGTCATTCCTGGCAAGGTTCGGGGACCCTCTGCGGTGCTGGGGATCAGGGTCGGCCACAAGCTAAACCAGCACCACGCCCCCTGACTATGGCACAGGCCAAATACTCTTTCCTTCTGGTCATACAGATTTCTGACAAGGTTGGGAAGCTT